GAAAGAAAGAAAGAAAGAAAGAAAGAAAGAAAGAAAGAAAGAAAGAAAGAAAGAAAGAAAGAAAGAAAGAAAGAAAGAAAGAAAGAAAGAAAAATGGGAATACTGAAGACTATGTTACCGGAAGTGAAACAATCTTGCAGAACGAGTTATTATTCTATTCACGTTAGACCGGAAGTGCGCTGTAGTCCATTTGATCATCATTTCAAAATGGCGGCCGCAGTGAAGGGTTTGGTGTCCATTTGTATCATCGTATTAATTCTAGCTAGCTCTTGGTTAATCGCTATTTTGATTGATTATTACGCTGGGAAAGGAAAAGAATTATCTCTCCATAAGAACTCAGACTCGGGGCCTTATCCTGGAAGCAAAATGGAAAATATATTTTGGTTTATTCAGGTATAGGACGATCGATCATCACAAAGAATTCCAATTTATTTTTTGTATAGTTTATATTACTTATGCTATCATAGGTATGAAAAGACAGGCGAAAGTGCTTCCCTGACTTAAGTCGCATGCAAAATCGCGAAAATGCAGAGAAAATATAAGGTTCAAACCTGAAGTTTTCTCCAGTTATGTAAGCTTATGCATACATAGGTACCACATGCATGGTTTATAAGGGAATGTATGGGAGTTATGATGAAGATATGGCAATAAAATCTTTCACTCAACGATTTGCCACAGCAATTAGCAAGGTACAAGAAACGACTGAAGCAAGTTTGAAAGCAAATTGTTGAGTGAAACAGCTGGCTGCCTGTAATCTCAATGCATGTGTTTATGAAATATTTGAATTAAAACTCAGTATTCTATTTTTCTGTTTGTATTTCAGATATCTGATTTGCATATAAGTAAATTTTATCAACCAAGCCGYGCAAAGGATTTGAAATACTTTTGTAAAGATGTTATTGATTCTATAAGACCAGCTGTTGTTTTAGCAACAGGTAAGTACTAATTGGCATCCTACATGAATTAATGCATGTATATACATCTCAATCTACATGGTAGCATTGCTCAAAAGGTGTGTCTTTCATCGATCTGTGTGTCATCACTATGCCAAACAGAGATCTGTTGTCTGTTGTGATAATGGTTGGCAAATGAACATGCACAATGCTAACTTTTGTTAACACCAACTAATGTTATTCAATCTCAATTAGATAATGTATTTTTTAGGAGATCTGACAGATGCTAAACACTCAAATCATCTAGGATCAGAACAGTTTGAAGAGGAATGGGAAACCTATGCCTCTGTGTTGAGAGAGACTGGTGTTGAGTTCAAGACAAAGTGGCTGGATCTCAGAGGCAATCATGGTATGAAAAATCCATGGTTCTAAGGAATTTTCATTGTTTGTCAGTATAGTGAAAGTGACTAAAAGAAACCGTATGACCACATTTAATGTAATTGTGTACTCCTATGCATGGGCGTTTGGCTACCAAGGCCCCGTCCTCACTATGCCCGACAAATTTGATTCCGGATTTTTATTTATTTGGTTAGGCCTACTGTCCATACTAGTCCGGGCAAATCCAGAACAATTCTTCACTGAAAACGAATTTCCGAAATGGAACCGAATAAATAAAATATCGGATTCAAATTTAATCCGGCATAGTGTGGGCGGGGCCCAAATGAGCTTCTACTAAGCAGGTTTGCATCAAAATGAGTTGGTTTAACATACGAAAGCCAAACTTTTTACATACGCTTCACCATATAGGATGCTCAACAAATACTTATTCGATAGTGGGGAGCAAAGGTATGATACATCAGAAGGATTAAAAACTGGTTACAGCCTTTGTTATTTTTCCCTTTATTTCTACAAGGGGGGTCACAGGCATCCTAGAACCCCCTCCCCCTGAAACCCTTGGTATCTGCAACGCTTGAAGCCTTGTGTGATGGTACTAAGGATGTCCATATATGTAGATTTTGAGTTGRGTGTCTAAGAATCCTATAAAAATCATTGTTATAGCCATCATATTGTTAAAGCCTCTATTTAGATGTCCCTAGTGTCATCATCCTGCAAATGTGTTGTGATGACCCTAAGACTACCAATGTGATGGATAGATATACTGAATCATCATCATCATATTTTATATATGCAGGAATGTTTTATGATATAAAAATATATTGATTTTTCAGATGCTTTTGATGTCAATTCAGTGCACAGTAAAAGAAACTACTACAGGTTTGTGTTATACAGACAGATGCACACCCAGACAGACAGACATATACCCACACAGTCAGCAAAAGACAGACAGTCATCAACTGAATGGCTAGTTAATTGCCAATCATAATGACCAGCCAAATTAATTTTATAAGCWCAATCTCCTTGTTTCTCGATCTGGCTCAAAACGGCCAAGATTTGATGGGACAAGTTTCAATTCTGGCTAGACATTGTAGTGATGATAAGCTGTTATGTTTAGCCCTGGTTAGGAAAACAGACAGCAGAAACCTAAAGAGCTACACCAGGTTTGATAGTAAAAGAAGTTAATATGAACCATTATTTTATAGATATTATTCATCTAGTGGGAAGGACATTACAAGAGGTGCTACTTCTTATCAGTATGTCCATCAGACCAGCTATGGCAAATATTTATTTAATGCAATAGATAGCTGCCCTGATCCAGGACCAAAAAGGCCATTTAACTTCTTTGGATACATATCAAAGGTGAATCCAGTGATGTTTGCTATGTATTAATAATTAGTTTATGTATTATGACGTCCGACCATATATGTACATTTAGTCATCTATACTGTCCATGTATTCCATC